TATATATATATATATATATATGAAGCAATTGGAATACAAATCGAAAATGCATGCCACTTTGGCAGGTCTTGATGAGCCAGCAGACTATTCATCTACAAGGTTGCATATGCATACACACGCACACGCAAGCGCGTGCAAACATGGTCGCATACGGGAGAGAATGAACAATTTTTATCAAGGAACTGCACATAGATACTATAAAAACAAGCCGGTGGGTATGGAAAGTGTCTACAGAACATTAAAAATGAGGTCTGTGGAGAAAAAGACCCAATGTAATGGACGGAGTCGACTTGATGACGCGGGTAGTTGGAGTGAAGTGTATACGTATAAAAAATAACAGGCGGGTCGTCAAATTCAGGAAGACAATAGCAAGCAATGGTGATCGTCGTGTTCTTGTGTGTTTGCATGGTTGTACTCCGTGCCCGACAGATGAATGTACTGAGAACTACCGAGAGTTCCATCACTTAGTGTACGGGTTCAGTGTGGGAAAGCTGGAGTGTAAACTATTAGCCGTGCCGTGTGAATTGCGGGCTCACATTGGACGAACGGGACAATACGCAACATCATGACTGAGGGAGACGAATTCTATGATGCATGCATCTTTTTGTTTGTATGAAACGTGATTGAGAAGGCGTTGGTAATCTACAGAGAGAATTGAAGACGAATAGCTGGAACAAAGACAAAGAAAATGGAGAACGTTAGCGACAGTTGAACGCTTCGAATGACAAAACGATACAGCAAGAACACTGGAATTTCTTGTTCGAGAGTGTACCACTCATGAGCAGTCAAGCGATAACTTCAGGTAACAGGCCAAGGGGGTGAGAATAATCAAAGCAGCAAGCGAATCGGAATGCACGATAAGGCACGAAGTGGTCGCAAATACCATCTTCGATTCAGAACACGCAGAGCAAAAGCAATCACAAAATTGATTATGTATCTTAGGAAGCATCTATGGACCACCTAATGATTTATTCATTTGAATATTACGTAAACTTTCCAAGGTTGAACCTTCTAACAAACACTATATCCTGAAACCCAAAGACTGCTAACTATTCATCTGTCGAGGTGCGTAAAGCGATCACTTGACTTGAATACGTAAATAGTACAAAATGCAGGCATACCATGTCGTTCTGGAAGTCTGGAATTATCATTCTCGTCATGGAATAAGGCAGTATTAATTATCATTAATTATTATTAATTAATAGTGTTAGTATAAGCTATAGAGCAAACTGAGAAGAAGTCAGGAAAAGCACTAACTAACACCAACAGGGTTCATGTTTTGGAATCAAGGTTCATATCCGAGATGCATTCTACCTGGGAAGTTTACGCATGCTGATAATATATGGTGAGTGTGTGAGGATCGATTCGCTGAGGAGTCCACTGATTTTAAAATGGAAACTAAGACCCTGATAGAACTCATCAAAACTAACAAACGTGAATAGCATTTGATAACTCATCTCATTTAATGACGAAACTTCGAGTCACCATCGAATTTTCAATAGTGGTTTGGTTGAGATTTGACTTAGGTGCTTAAAATGGTTATATGAAGCGAATAGTGGAATAGTGGTGATTTGGGGCTTAACCTATCGAACGTTAACTCTTCGTCTCCCGAGTGAATGTCACCCATCACGCCAAATATTCCAATCTTAATCATTAGCCTCGCTTCATTTATTTTTCTATATCAGATCACCGATCGATTATCTGACCCATGTTAATTTGCGATAATGGTATCTTCAAAGAAAATATGAATCAAAGAGATCCCAGATTCCTGTTTCAAGCCGTTACTGTACATTATATCACTGTTGTTGGGTCGGAATGTCCGACCGACAGATGCGAGNGAGTATATGCACCGAATGATCGGATGGGCGAAACTGCTTGTAGAATCATTCGACCAAACCCTCAGTCGAATAGTGAGCAAGTCAAGAACATGATGTAATCGAAACATTATCTCTATTCGGTTTCTCGTTAATGGATTGAACCCTATACGCGCTATTTACCTTGGTACACTTGACAATTACTCCCTCTAACCCATTGAGGTGCAGAATGAGGGACTCTCAATGTGATCAGTACACAAGGCACATGGTCAAAACAACTGACTACCTTAAAGTAGGTATTGTTGCAAACCAAAATAAATTAAACGAACAGCTACTAACTGAGAGTACGCAAGATTGGATTGGTCGCATCCTTTGCGATTGATTTTTATCGGGCTGGATAGTGGAAACCAAATAGATCACAGGAAAAACGGAACCCGATTCGATGGCGCTGAACTTGATAGGTTTCTTGTGAGTGACAATCAATTTGCCGGTAGTTCAACGGGCTTCATAAGAGAGGTGGGTGTGATGGCATCGAGCCGATTTGGCACATTGTCCAACGAGCTATAGCTACGGTACATAAATTTTGGGGTACCCACTGGCAAACCATAGTGTACATCCTCACCACTGCGCAAATGCACCGCCGAGAGTCAGCAGCACACAGATGATTATTCCCATCTAGTGCGTACACATTTTATGGCAAGCATATAGCTACAATTTGTTCATTGTTGTGACGGTGCGTCAATCACCAATCATACACGTACGCGCACACACGGGCGCGGGAGCCTACGCTGGATGCAAGAAAAAGCAATCCAAACGACTAGGAATGAAAACCTCAGCGGATTTTCTCTCCAACAAAAGGAGCATGGTACACCATCAGTGATCTGGTTTCCGGAAGAATCCTTTCAGCACAAACGGGAAATACAATTTCATTGGTCTGAAAAGGTCAGACGATCGAAGTGGTTACTATGCGCAATGAACCGCAAACAAAGAAAGTCGAATCAGGAATCCGAGATTGAAGAAAACCTACAATCATTAGATCATCACTGAGAAAAGCCGGTACAGAACACTTTTGTTTGATGGGGTGTGGCGGCGAGTTGATGACAGCATGCCGGATGGAAGGAAAGACAAGTACTCACCGAGCGATCAAAAGGATTTCTCACGGGGACTGGGATAAACCCTTCAAAGAGGAGAGGAGAGCCGTATTGGCCTGTCGTCGAACTTCGGCTGCGCTGAGGTCGAAAGTCGCTGGGGGTGTTGAACCTGGTCGTTCGCGATGACGCAAAACAACTTGGTTCGCTGTGGGAGGAGAAAATGAGAGAAAAATGAAACAGACGGTGAAGGATGATAGGAAACAAGGTAGAGGAGAAACCTGAAGGGGTAGATAACTTGACGTACCAGATGATAGACCAGGGAGTTCGACACCAAACCTCTTGTGTTTAGCACTCATACTCGGTGTTGGACTGCCAGCGGGGGAAGCTAGAGTGAGGAGCGGTTGAGCTTCTACTATAACCTGATCTGATTCCATTAGATTGGCATGATGATCGCGGGTCGGTGAAGGGGGATCGGCAGGTGGAGTTGGGGTGGCCACATGGGGCTCGGATGAACCACTTCGGACCAACAACTCCGGAAGGAAAGGAGATGAATTAGTGGGTTTGGTGGAACTGGCTGCAAATAAAAGACAGAACAATCAGGTCAAAAAATACTGTTCGAGCGAGAAGGGACACAACTACTTCACATTTACTGAAGAAAACAAGCAAACGCCTGGGCTAAACGTAGTCTAATAAAATCAATAGTGTATTATCTTTCTTTAGTCAACTGAAACAAAGCGAAATGCTGAACGTACTAATAAAGTATTGACCACTTATTATGAGGTACTGGACCTGTTATGTATTTTCATACCTGATAAAAACGACTTACAAACACAATGCACACGAAATTATTTAACTATACAGAAATTCATGTAATTAAAGGCTCGATTCCGCTGACTGTACGCCGAGATTGCATGAGGGAAAGGCCGAACCGTGTAATGCCTGATTCGGTGAGTCACGATGAAAGAAAGACTGGAAATGTCCTAGCACATCCTCTTCCGAGATCAGCAAGTATGCCGCAAGAAAAATGAACTGAGGGTTATCCATATGATACACGAGATATCGGTCAGGATGGACATCTATTCTCGCTCCGTATGAATGAATGGGTTCATGGAACGATCGACAATTGGAAATCGGGGATAAGTCGCTTCAAACGGGTAGTTCAACAAAAAGAAAAGCCGATCATTCAACTAGGGTTCACCATAGTACGTACTCAATAAACCAGCTAAACTAAGTATTCTCATTAAATTCCCTGAGACTTTCGAAATACACATTAGGTCGTCTTTATCCCCCATCTATTGCAGGTTCTAGTCCAAACCGGATGACATCAAAATCTGGCGTACAATCGAGGGTGCGGAGGATCGAAATACTCTTCAAGTGGATTTGAAAAACCTGGCTCAGTGGGCAGACACCTGGGCTCTTCCAGTAAAAACCGCAAACTGTGCTCACTTGGGGCGTGCTGACTCAGAGGTAGCCTACAGCTTCCAGGGAACCACACTGCGCAGAACATCGTGCGAAAGAGATCAGGGAGTTATGGTTACGTCACCACTAAAGACCCGAGGAAACACCGATCGAGTGTGCCAGCGCGTGGAGCATTCTGAGGCCCATTCGGCGATCTTTCAACCGGCTCACGATGGACGCTTTCAGATTGCTGTACGCTTCCCGTGTCAGACTAAGAGTTAAGTGTGGTGGTGCGGTGACATACGCCTGCCTGCGTGTACAACGTGCTGCCACTAGACTCGTTGTTGAACTACGTGGGACCAGCTATGAAGGTCATTTGAAGGCAACAGGTCTGTTTCCAGTTGCGCATGAGCGCCTCAGGGGAGATCTAGTCTGCCTGACGAAGATCCTGAATGGTGATATGGGCCCGGAGTTGCAGCAGTACGTCTCTTTTACGGACAGAGGACTGCATGCGGGGGCACTCTTTCACGTTGCGGAAACTCCGGTCAGTTGGTCTTTCATTAGTCTACCGACTCTCGCGGAAGTCAACAACATTCTGTAATTCCCTTTCAGCGACCGTGGTGGAGGAGAAGACACGCTGCTTTCAAACGGCATTTAGATGAGCACCTGAAGGGGCTTTGTAGGAACAAACACTTGTGATGGGACCTTCAACCCAGTGGAGATGGGGCTTACACGGGTACCCTACTCGCAATACTGAAGCTCTCCAATAATTTACATTTATTCAGTAAGTGGTTGCGAGAGTACAGACTTTCCCGGAGGAATTCGATGGATAGCATGATCGAAACCGGGAGGTAGAACGAAATTCGAAATATTCATGTCGGAGCAAGGAACAAAAAAACGCACAAACAACGACCACTTGTATTTGATACTGGTCATCAGAAAGACTCACATTTTGGTGATACTGAGGTCGACCGTTCGGAATCCTCCTGATCACCGTTTTGTCTGACCGAAGGGGATGAATAGCTGAAGATTTACAGAGGAAGAATAAAAACAGGAAAAGTTCAGGGTTATGCACTGGAACCAAGGTGATCATGGACTGACTGACTGTCTCTCCTCCATCCCTTCCCGGAGAGTAGATCCAGTTTGAAGATTTTGAACGGGATGGTATAACAATAGACAAAGAAAAATCAACCCCATTCTTGCCCTCTTCCCATCCCAAAAGACCTTCCGACCCAGCGTGACAATGTGTCTTCACAACAAACCACCACATGATATGTACAGGCACGATTATGAATCATTCGAAAACAATTATCCGTTGGAAATAATGTGGAACGATTGTAGCTCGGGATGTGAATGTTGGTGGTGGTGTGTTCTCCGAGTAGGGAGTGTTGTTCGCAGCTCGG